TTCCAGTATAGAGTATTCATCATACAGTGTAAGCGTTAAGGGAAAATGAAGATAAATTACTTCTTATTGGAACTAGCATCCTTGAGGTTTGTTTCAGGCCCTGAATTTCTTTTAAATCTTACAGTGACTCAATACAAGATTCACACTTCTTACTGGACCTGCATTTCTTACCTGAGGTTTTGTTGAGACCCTGTATTTCTTCTAGTCTATAATAACACAATCAGAGGATTGGAAACATTGTTCCATATTTCTTACTGGACCTGCATTTCCTACCTGAGGTTTTGTTGAGACCTTGTATTTCTTCTAGTCTATAATAACACAATCAGAGAATTGGAAACATTGTTTCTGAGGCTTGCTCTTGATGAGAAACTTCAGTTCCAATTGGGGGAAGTTGCCTGAGTCCCAGAACTTCAGCTTAAGATTACATCAATCACCTAGAAATATAAATGCCCAAGTATCCATCTTGGGTTAAAGGAAGTTATTTATGCTTTTATGAAAATATCACTACATAGCCGGGTGTGGTGGCGCATGCCTGTAGTCCCAGCACTTGGGAGGCAGAGGCAGGTGGATCTCTGTGAGTTCAAGGTCAGCCTGGTCTCCATAGTGAGTTACAGGACAGCTTGGGCTACAGGGAGACCCTGTCTCAAAAACACTAAAAAAAAAATCATTTTTGTTGAAGCTGTGACCATTATTGTAATATTTAAATATATGACATTAGTGAGCCATTAGATAAAGATGAGGTCATGAGATGGGGTCCTCATAATGGGATTAGTGCCCATATGAAGAAAAGACACTATGAGACTGGTGCAGAGGAGCAGAAGGAGGAGCAGAAGTTGGTTCCCAGCACCAAAATCAGTCAGCTCACAATCATCTGCAGCTCCAGCCCTAGGGGATAAGACACTATTTTCTGGGCTCAGTATACACCATCATGTCAGCCTACAATACACACATACACATAAAAATAATAAAATATTTTTGAAAATCAATAATGTCAAAATGCTAAACAGTCAGATGATGCTACATAAGACATTTTGGCTTCTTTTTCTCAGAAGAAAGGATTTAAATGGAAAGTGTTATTTTTTTCCTCCACTCCTCTATGTCCCAAGTCGAAGGCAAATTATACTAGAAGAGGGTTCATCACATCTTATTGGAAAGACTGATTATGTCACTTTTCTTCCAATGATAGCTACGTGGAAAACCAAAGTCTCACATGGTACAGGGACCTCATAGAAAAGGATGTCTGGAGATGAATGGAGCTGCATTACCAAGCTCAAAACAATGTTTTCTTTCATTTACTGTTTTGGAGGTAGAGTCTCACCT